AAGAAGTAATTTGTTCGTGAATCAGACAATACATGTTTTGTGTTCATACACAGGTGCGTTTTTGTGTGCAGCACGAGCAGAGCGTGACAACACCGTTGTGATCTGCGACCGAAGTATGTCATATGAGAAATATGTAAATTCAAGTTCAGCGAAAGTGTTAAATGAATTTGAGCACTTGTATTTTTTTTATATTTCCCATGTTGCATTAGCGCACTCTCTGTTTAACCATTTCTGTGCCGCACTTCCGCAACCCAAATTTTAAAATATTCGGATTACGCACACTTTTCTTTAATTTCTGACATGTTTCATATTGAAACAGTAAATTCGGGCGGGAAATGTCGAAGTTTAGTTAGGCCACATAATCCATTGTTGCCAGTCGGTTGCAAGTAAGTTACAACAATCTCTCTTTCTTTTATCGTTTTTGAAGCTTGACATATCCCGCTATGAATGGCAGATGCATACTCTTCAGAAATCCTCCCTTTGTGATCCACGGAAGATAAGTCGGGGTTTGAAGGGTGAGTAAACATTAATTTGTCACATTTGTATTCCTTTACTTAGGGCCTGTCCCCATACTGGAGTCTTGTGGATGCGTGATGGATGAGTATAGGAACAGGCGCTTTTAGACTCATCACATCAGTGATAATTCTTATGCATTAGCTACAGTCTAGCACTAGATGTCAGCAATGTGATGTACAATTGATGTAGGGCTTGCTCTGTGATAGGTCAGCTGGCATAAGGATGTTTATTTTGGGCTCCTGGGGTGAAGGATCTAGTGTCAGAGTATCACTTCCCTCATCAAGGGAAATGACAAAGTGACTGATGCATGAAACCATTTCATGCCTTGGCCAATGCGCAACAAATGAAGTACCCATGAATGTGCACATTAGAAAGCTAATTGGTTTTAGTGTCATGCTAAATTGTGGTTTATTAGAGACTACATCTGTTAGCCTGGATCTGTGTGAAGTGCTTTTCACTTTTAAACTAAACTTTTCTTCTTTCCCATGACAATTTCTTAAGAGTTTAGCATATTTGAACAACTGTTTTTAACACATAATTTCGTAGGGCTGGGTTTTGACACAAATTTCATGATTCGATTCGATTACCAATTCGATTCAATTCAATATCGATAATTTTGGATATATATCAGGTACAGTACATGCCAAATTTTCTCAAGGAAAAAAAATCTCTCAACTAATGCTGTAATATATACATGAGAGTCAGTTGGTACTAAATTACTATAATATTGAAGGTTAAAATTGACTGATTTGTAGGCTATACAACTGCTAAAATTACACTTAATTAATTTTTTTTAAATACTGAAGTTACAATTACACTATTTCTACTTCAATTTTTTTTTTTTTTTTATATATAAACATTTTAAATGGTGGCTGTCATAAAAACTTGATGGATTTATTCAAACATAAATTAAACATTGAAGAACAGTAAAAATTATAATGAATATGCTATACGGTACATATTAGCAAAATGCCCCTCTCTACAGTTTATTTTTCTGTCTGACTAATGAGTTTATGGTCACCGAATATGTTTTTTCTGAGGTAAATGTGACGTTACGCGACATATTGTTTACAAGCCGTTATATTGACGTCTTTACGCGGCTGAAACACTGATTGAGTGATTAATGTTACATGAGAACGTTCTTTTAACTTACCTTCGGATGTTTAGTCATGTTTATTTTGTGCTATAACTAGTATTAAAGTGGAGGAGATGATCAGTTCACCGAGGCGCTACAGCAATATGTCACTCCACATTAAACAGCGCTACAACGGCATTTATTGTTTAAATACTGCAATACAATGGACAGCATTTGAAATCTGAGACTTTGTTTCATATTAAAAGTACCTAAGCACAATGCTTATTGCGATTTATTGGACGGGAAGTGCCTTTCAATGTTCTGTCCATTAGCTGAAAACTGGCTAGAGTAATCAATTCTTGGGATGTAAGAATCGATATTGTTCCGGAAAAATGAGAATCGATTAATATCAAGATATCGATATTTTTTACCCAGCCCTATAATTTCGGTGAGTGTATAAATACCAATTTAATTGAAGTCAAATGATGTTTCATGTGAAATCGAGTCAAAAATTTGCTCAATTGTGTTTCATATATGCATATGGGGAGGCTACATACTCCAAGCCAAGTGCATTCATCATAACTCACCTGGGACTGATATAAAAGGTTACCCATCGTTTCCCCTCATACAGAGCAAGATAGGCATTGTTAATAGAGCCCAAGCATTGAAGGTGGACATAAATCTAAGACAGTATGTGGCCTCTAGTAATATGTTGTTTTGTCTTCAATCTTTGTGTTCTTGACTGCAGCATGATGCGGTTGATTGAGTCCATTTGCAGTTTATTACAGCACTGGAAATGATAGGAATTTATCCAGCTTTGGTACTCTTTGGCATCGCTGACAGAGCATGAGAGCGGAGCTGTAGTGCAGTGAGAAATGCCTTCGAGACGCAGTTTAATTTTACAACAACATCCATCTGATTGGTGGTAGGAGGGAGTTCACTGATGTTGAAAGTAGTGTGTGCATGTATAGCTGCATGAAAGCAAGCATGAAATGCACTTCAAACTTTGATTTATCTAGCTGTTTTTGTTTGTTTACTTGATACAGAAATTAATAATGGTTAAAGAACAGATGCAGCATTAACACTTTCCTATTAATCAGAATCACACAGACGTTTTTTATCAGCTCTGACTGCTCCTCTTTTTGGGTGGCGAGAGGCGGTGCGTCAGTTTTTCTCAGCTTTGAGCTGGAGAAATTATAATTATGCTGCTCCAGATGGCTTGCATATTGTGTTGCTGTTGGCGGCCCTTGAAAGAGCTTTCGTCTTTATCGCGCAATAAAATCATCTCGGTGAACAGACACGTCAAACTTAAAGACGCAGCCATAATAACATCTCTAGAGGTCTGCGCGTTTCCTGCAGCCAGCCCTCCTCTTTCAAAGCGTAAAATGAGAGTGACACTGATGATGCTCGCGAGAAACTGAGAAACTGTGACTCGCTCTTACTGTTAATCCTGGCGGACAATGCCATGAAAAGCCCAAGGGGGAAGATGTATGAGGTCCTTGTCCTTATCAGCTCAGCAGGCTCTCAGAGGGCAGAGCGGTTGTGGCGCCTCCACCGATCACTAGTGCTCACCCACCCGCCCTATTATCATGTGTGCTCACTGATATAACAGTGACATCAATCTGCCGTCAACCAGACCGTACCTGTGCCAAGTTAAACAATCAAAGCCATGCATAAGGTGCCCTGTGAATTCACACACCCAAGCAAAAACACATGGCCGCACATTTCTCTCTAGGGGAGAGGAGTTCATTTTGCAGGCAACCTGTCATGATCTGTGCATGTCATTTTTCTCACCAACTTGCTGTGCTGGGAGTTTTTACAGACCTTGCACTTTTTTGATAGAGGGGCAAACATTTCGGCTCATTTCAGACCGAGCACAGACCGACTGCTAGCTTTGCGTGAAACAGCAGCTTTGAATTTAGAAGCTGAAGTCCTATTAAGCATCTGGTCACAAGGTAAGTCTGCATAAGTAATTTGCATCTAATTCAAACATTATGTCCGTTTTGAGGCGATATGTGGGTTTCTTTTTGCAGTAATACTCCTAATGCAATTTTCAGTAGGATTATGGCATAATTAAATCACTGGCTCTGTGTGTTTTCAGGGATATGAAGCTGGTTGCAGGGTTAGCCGTGCTGTGGCTGTGGGTTGTGGAGGCCGTGGAAAACTGCCCCGATGCTTGTAAATGCAGCCAGAAATCCAGTATGGAAAAGACTGAAGTTAATTGTCAGAAGAAGGGACTTGAGAGCATCCCACCCAAACTCCCTCTGGACACATGGATCCTTAAAATGGGTGAGCAGGCTGCAAACTTTTTGGGGGGGAGGAAACGTTCTCAGTAATAGTACTAACCCTCATGACAAAATATAAGGAACAAGATTTATATTAAAATAAACATTTCATGTACAGTAGCCATATTCCACTACATAACCATACAAAAATGTGCTTTTTGTCTTTTGAAAGAAATGAATACTTTCATTTAGCTAGGCTGCATTACATTGATCAAAAGTGACAGTGACGGTAAATTTTAAAACTTTTTATTTATCAAAGAATCCTGAAATAAAATGTATCTCAGTTTCCACAAACATATTAAACAGCACAACTGTTTCCAACATTGATAATAAAAAGATTGTTATTATTGTTTCTTGAACACTAAATCAGCATGTTATAATGATTTCTGAAGGATCATGTGACACTGAATTTAGTAGTAGTGGCTGCTGAAAATTCAGCTTTGCTGTCACAGAAATAAATTATTTTGAAATATATTAAAATAGAAAACAATTTTGTATTAAATTGTATTAATATTTCAAATGTTACTGTTTTTACTGTTTTTGATCAAATATAAAATATATAGCCTATATTAGGGCTGTCAGTTTAACGCGTTAACAATTAATTAGTTATAAAAAAATAACGCGATTAAAATAGTTAGCACAGTTAACGCACTGGCCCCGCCCCCAGACCTGTACATCATCTCACATTTCATATACTGTTGACAAAATATGATGCAGGGCAACAACTCCATAAATGTAGTTATCCCCTAAAATTCAAGATATTGGTGCAAAAATGCCCCTTTACGTGTTTTTGTCTCATATTTATATCATACGATATCACAGGAGCAGGGAGAGCAGGCTATTACAGGAGTGCTGATTTTTAAATGTGATTTTATACAACAGTACAGTAAATA